CACCACGGACTGTGCAGGTTGCATAGAGCCCTCCACTAAAAAATATATATATATATATAGATACTGGGTCTCCAGACTCAGCACAGAACATTGGATTCAGTTGGATCCGAATAGGTCTCAAAGATTTGCAGCTGTGGAGTATCATAGCAAGTTCCAGGGCAGATCCAACATGTCTGCCATAGAATTCGGAAGAATTAAGATCAGACCCACTTGAGCAATCATGCAGGACTTACTGATTCCTGATAAAGAAGTTTTAACAACGGGTCAACATCATGGCACACGGGTAGTAACCCATAAGTGCTCCGTTCTACTTCTAACTCAAGTCTGAGTCCAAAGTGGCTCAGTGCAGCGCACGGGCTCCGTAGCACCGGCGAGGATCCTGAAATATGTGGGTAGATTTTTAACTCCAAATTTTGCCTGGGGGGGAGCCGTTAGGCTATTCTTTTCGATTTCCAACAGCCAAAGGATTTTTTATGTGCGCAACAATGCATACGGGCATCCGATCTCACTACCCAGAGACCCAGGGGAAATACTAGAAGTCCGAGTCCACATGAAAAAATCCCAACCCTTGCCGGGGATTGAACCTGGAACCTCTAGCACTTGATGCGGACACCATGCCTCGAGACCACGCAGCCCCCCCCCCCCCCTCCTCTTGATAAAGACTTCTCATGTACTGTCCAGTTAGTGACCCAAGGAGGAGCCAACTCACTGCAATTGTTGTTCACTTCAAAGTAATTTCAATATGCACAGCTGCATGTTGCCACCGGTTTGATAAATTCTAGCTAACTAGTATGGGGTTAATGGCACAATACTGTATTATTTGTGATCAAAATATCTGTTATATGTGTTGATTGTTTCTGGAGCAAATTCTTTATGGAAGTGGAAAATAAATACACTTTATGCCTTAAAGTTACTCATGACTTTCCAGTGTTTTGTATCTTAATGTTAGTGTCTTTCCAATGTTTTGTACCTTAATGTTAGTGTCATTCCAGTGTTTTGTACCCTAATTTTAGTGTCTTTCAAGTGTTTTGCACTTTAATGTTACTCTAGTCTTTAAAGTGCTCTGTACTTTAATATAACACTTGTTTTTCCACAGTTATTACTCTTTGGAGATTGAACAGGGTATCTGGGATTAGCCAAGTTGTTTTACCATCCAGACCAAGATTTAGTCATCTGAGGGTGACCAAACCTTTAGATAGTAGCCCAGATGCACACACAAACGGAAGGAAAAAGTTGGAACCATGTATCTAGAGTTGGATGTTATGAACAATGATAAGCTCAAACAGTATTGTTAGCCAATGGTAATAAAGCTGTGATGCATGCTGTCGACTTAGTACTATGGTGCACAAATAAATTTGCAACAGTCGCCACTCGACTGCTACAAAGATCTATAGTTGCAATGGCTGTATGGGCTGATAAATGGTGTGACAGCATCAACATAGACAAGTGTAGCACAACTCTCTTGACCCACTCCCCAAAACAAAAATCAGGTGTCATTCAGATAAATAGAATACGATTAAGAGAGGATAAGGAGCCCACATACCTCAGAGTCACGTCTGATGATAGGCGAACATGGAGAAAACACATCAACTAGGCAGCAACTAAAGCCAGAAGGAAGATAGCCATCCTAAGAAAACTAAGTGGAACAACATGGGGCGCAAATGGGAAAATACTTAGGAAAGTTTATCAACAAAGTGTACGATCACACCTTGAACATGGGTCTACTGCATGGAGTTCAGCATCAAAAACCACACTACAAAAGTTAGACAAGGTGCAAAATCAAGCACTCGGAGTCATAACAGGCAGGATGAAATCAACACCTATAGCTGTGATGGAGAATATGGCGATGACTCAAAAACATTAACAGAACGAAGAGACACTAAGATACTAATACAAGCAGAAAAGTTTCTTAGCATGCCTGACACCATACGAAAGAAAGAAAGATTTCAAAATCTAGCAACAGGGTGACTAAAAATAAGCAGTTTCATCCACCAGGCCCAACGACTCTGCAGGCAAACCAATGATCTGCCTGCAACTGATAGCCTCTTAAATGCTATTCCAGATAAATCCATTGGAAAGAGGATTATAAGTTGCCAATACACATCCAGACAGAAGTGAAAGGAGTATTCGACTTGGAAAAACAAAACAGTGTGCAATGTAAAACAGCCACCCTCGCTCTACTTGAACATAATCTTTTGATTCGAGTGTATACGGATGAATCAGCCCAAAACGCAAGCAGAAATGGAGGAGCAGGAGTGTAATTGATCATCCAAATACCAGATATACAGCCAAAATACCTACAGAAAAGTACTGTCACAACTATGATGCAGAAATTCGAGCCATCAAAATAGCAGCAGAAAAATTGTTAAATATACGCCATATTTCACAACCCGTGGTATTTCTGACAGATGCTAGAGCGGTACTTCAGGCACTCTAATCTGGAAAACTACCTGGTATACGAACACTACTCTCCAAACTAGGCAGTTGGTGTAAGCTAGCTAGGCAATGGATACCATCCCACTGTGGAGTTCCTGAAAATGAAAGTGCTGATAAACTAGCTGAGGAAGGTGCAAATAAAGAACAACCTGACGTACCAGTCTCTTATTAGCAAAAGAAGAGAATAATCAAATCAATCAGAAAGCCACCAAAACCAGCACAAGACGATTACCATTTTATGGAAAGACCAAAGCAAGTTATTATTCTACGCTTTAGAACAGGACACAATCGACTTCGCAGCCACATGTATATAAAGGTTAGTTGCGTATCCCTTACAGGACGTTGCAGAACCAACTCCAACAGCCCCTGGCTGTTGTGTGGTTTATATAGGCAAATTTACATCCAGTAGTTTGCAATTGCTTTCTGGACGGTCGGCTTTCTTGATAACACTGTCGAAACCAACGCAAGGCGCATGGTCCCCAGCTGGGATCAAACCCGGCATCTCGGCATTGACTTAGCCACAGAGCTGACAGCCACATGTATACAAAATTAAAAATCGGTGAATCAACTATGTGGACTGGCACCTGAAACAACAGATCATGCCCTCCAAGACTGTCCCAAATCCAACATATCAAATCAAAACTTTTGGCCAAGAGAAACATCGGTGCAAGTCAAACTGAGTGAATTACAAAATACAGTGAAGTTCATACTAGAGACAATATTGCAGATATAAATAATTTATTTCAAGCAAACGAAAGAAGAAGAATTGTTAGCCAGCTTCATGACTCCCAACTATGTCTAGAACTAGATTTATTCTTCTCACTTCTACTACACTGGCAGCCACAGTGGTGTAACAACTAGATACTCTGCCATCCGGCTTGAAGGTTGTGGGTTCGAATTTGCATCGAGTTGGATTTTCCTAAAATGGGTACCAGGTAAAGTCCTGGGAAGTGAAGGTGTCCTGCGTGATGTTAACCACATCACCTATCAAAGGCAGATTGGTTTATAAAAATATGAGTGTAGTTTCATATGCCTGGCATGTCCCTCGCATGAAAAGGGACCTTTACATTATTTCTATTACATAAAAGTTCATACTAGAGACAGCTTTGCAGATACAGATAATTTATTTCAAGCGAATGAAAGAAGAAGAAGAATTGTGTAGTCCACAGACTAATTTGACTGACGTTCATTCCCACCAGGACATCACACAGAGCGATAGACACCTGGTGACACAAAGTGCCACCATTCAGTTGAGGATCACCCAGGGACAGGTTTTAAAAACCCCCTTTCAACCCATAGTTTGGGTTATAATAGGGCCCCTGACAACAGCCAGGGTGGGGCTTTCAAACATAAAAAAACTTACGTCCGACATTGGATCACACGATTAAGCTACACAGGTAGGGTAGGTAGTTGTACCCCACCAGGACATCACACAAGCGATAAACACCCGGTGATACAAAGTGCCACGATGTGGATAAGGATCATCCGTGGAGAGGTCCCAAGAATCCTTTTCAGCCGTTAGGCCATATCTATGGCTAAGCTATATTCAGGGCCCCTGGCAAAAGCCAGGATGGGGCTTAAAAATAACAAAAAATTGCATCCCACAAGGGGATGACGTCAGTGATAATAGAGGCTTCCATACATCTAAACAGTCAACTTTCACCGTCAGCAACAACCAATCATTGTCAATTTCCATTTTTTATTTGCAACAACGAATGCGAAGACCTAGATTTATTTCCCAATACTGACAGACTGTCACTAGCTTTAACCCTGATGACTTAAGTACCAGGAAAAAGGTATATTTTTGCCTGAAAACAAAATAAGAAATAAAAACAAATGTTTACTCTTTCCATGGTTACAGAAGAAAACATATAATGGTTATCTCCCTTTTATTGGTGTGGCCCTCCCTCCATGAGACTAAATAAGAAATAAAAAAATGTGATATAAATCTCAAAATGGGAGTAAATAAGCAGACCAAAGTAGGCCTATTTATCACTGCCTTCTCTTCTTTCTTCCTTGCGTTCACCATCTGTAAACTCCAGTGGAAAGTTCTGCATATTCGGACTTGAGTCTTGTTCTAGAACCTGAGTGTTGTGTGCACATCTGTTTTACACATCTGACTTATCTTATGCAGACTGTTGATTCCTTACCTATCAAGCAGATGCACTAAGACTTCGAAGGCAACCCCCCAGTTAGTTGACTCTTACGACATGCTTGTTGGGAAGGCAGTTGATCTATTCTTGTTTTCCTCCCCACAATGGGGCCCCGGAACCCACAGAGTGAATCAATGCCTGGACACTAAGGAAGCATTTTTGTTGTAGAATAAAACAGTTGATTATGTAACAAAGTGACAAACCAATATTGTAGTGGGCCTATCCCCCCACCCCCCACAAAAGGGGTCCTTGAACCCACATAGGGAACCAGCTGAGTGTTCTTTCTGTTTCAGTGAGTGTTCTTTCTGTTTCAGTGAGTGCCCTTTCTGTATCCTTGACTGCCCAATGTGTATTACGTAAGTAATGGTAAATTTCCCATTGAAAGCACTACAATTAACGATTAATATCAGGTCATGTGATGTAGTCATGTGGTATCCGAAGTCCTGCCATTGGTCCAACTGTACTCAACCAGGTAACCAAGTAGTTTCTGGAAGAATAATTAATTTCACAAATTTAATTACCAGTACCTGAAAACATTTCAGTAATTTCTGATTGACTAGAAAATGGGAGTCCATGTGGTGTAACCGCTAGAAGCTCGCCTGGAAGGTCGTGGGTTCAGGTCCTGATGGAGTCAGACCAGACTTTTTTTTTCCTTTTCAAAAATGACCTTGGCCCTCAGGTCGACCCAGCCTTGACTGGGTACCAGATGCATTCCTGGGAATCCCCGTGTGGGTTCCTGGGCCCCATTGTGAGGAAAAAAAGAATAGACCCACTGCCTCCCCAAAAGCATGTCGTAAGAGTCGACTAATTTGGGAGCTTCCTTTGAAGTCGGAGTGCATCTGCCGGAGAGGCAAGGAACCAACAGTCTGTATTCAAGAGAATGAGATCTGTAAAACTGATGCACACGCAACATTCAGGTTCTGGAGCAGGACTGCAGTTCAGTAGTGGACGAGCAACGAGAACTTTTCCCCAGAGTGTACAGCTGGTGAACGCGAAGAAGAAGAAGAAGTCCTGGGAAGTAAAGACGGCCAACATGATGCTGACTATATCACCCACCTAGTGCCGATTAGTCAATAAAATATAGCTCTGGCCCTATATGCCCAATACACATGAAAGTGTAGAAACGGATCCTTTACTTTTTTTTTTTTCAACTGGTAATTTGATAAATTCTTTTAGCAGTATGCAACTTGCTATACTTTAACTGGTTTCCCAATATATGGTAAACATTTCTGAACTTATTCTGTCACACCAGTCTCACTTTTATGGCAGTGTAGGACAGGGAAAGTTGTGAGTGCTAGGATTTCAGGACCCCTGGCCAGTGCAATGGCCAGGAACTGTGCAGGATAATTAGCATTTTTAGTTTTGCTGCTGGCAGAAAAATCTCCATCCCTTACCAAAAACTGAACCCGGATTTCCCATGTAAGGTAGGTTCCAAAACCCCATTGGGGGAAGGGGAGAGGGGAGACCGACTGTCCCCCTAAGAAGCATGTTGTAAAGGACGACTAATTAGGGTTGCTGAAATTGGATGTGTTGGGCTGAAAAGCACAGACGAGCTGTAAACCATGTGTGCGAGTAAGCCAACCGCTCTTTAAAAGGTGAATGCAGAGCAAGAACCCGGGTTTTCCCATATAAGAGCCCAATGCACTAACCACCGGGTCAAAATTAGTATATTTTAGCATCCTTAAAAAAAACTATGCATTATACTCCACCTGAACAGAACAGGAAGAAAAACTTGTAAAGTCAGTGGTTTAAAAAAACTTTTAAAGTCAGTTGTTTCAAAAAACTTTTAAAGTCAGTGGTTTCAAAAAAAAATTTAAGTCAGTTGTTTCAAAAAAACTTTTAGTGTCAGTGGTTTCAAAAAACTTTAAAAGTCAGTGGTTTAAAAAAAAATAACTTTCAAAGTCTTACTTTTTTTTATCAGCCTCCAGTCCTGTCGTAATCTGTGCCATGAGATTAGATGTATGACAAGGATGAAGTTGTAAGTAGGGCCGGCCCGAGACAGGATGTTCCTGAAATCATTTATATGTTGTGCAAATGAACACTGTAATTCACATAGGCTAACCATACAAGCTTTTCTTGTTTTGTTTATTAATTGTCAATCAATGTCAAAGTACTGAGTGAAAATGTATCTAGTAAAACTATAAACCACCAACAAATTATGGGATTTATTCGTGATGTCTTGTAAAGCTATGTTCTTCAACCTGTGCCCGCAGACTGCCACATTTCTATGGAAATTTCCTGGCAGTGTACCAAAAAAAAAATGCCTGCCCAGTCATGTAGAAGCTAAAATGTGGATGTCACCAGGAGCAGATGGTATATCTAACAAAATGATCAAAAACTTAGGAACAGTGGCCAAAACAAAGCTTTTACAGATATTTAATGCTTGCTGGGCAACAGGAAATGTTCCACAGATCTGGAGAGAGGCAATTATGATACCCCTCATAAAGCCTGGGAAAGACAGTTCCAATGCCTCCAACTACAGACTGATCAGCCTCACAAGCATTGCAAAACAATGGAGCGCATCACCAACCTCACACTACAATGGTACATTGAAAGTGAAAACATCACTACACTACAGCAGGCGGGCTTTAGAAAGTTCTACTCTACGGAAGACCAGACAACATACCTCTCCCAAGAATTGATGCTTTTCAAGATAAGAAAATGGTACTCGCTGCATAGATAGATTTAAGGAAAGCTTTTGACAAGGTTTGGAAGGAGGGGCTTTTGAAGAAATTGAGAAACTAAAAAGTAAATGGAAGAATTTACAATTGGATTAAAGCATATCTACATAACAGAAGAGCCAGGGTACAGGTAGATGGTTTCAAAAGTAAAAAAGTTCTACTGCGACATGGCGTCCCTCAAGGTGGTGTCCTGTCGCCCACACTTTTCCTCTTATTCATCATTGACCTGGTTGCTGAAATACCAAATGGAATCAAAATGGCAATGTATGCTGACGACCTGGTACTGTGGTGCACCGATGAACATGCAACAATAGCCACAAGAACACTACAGCGGGCTACATACACTTGAAGCATGGGCGAATAGATGGTTTGTCAGCCTCAATACAGACAAATGTAGCACCACACTCTTCACTCTCTCCCCAAAGCAAAAAGCGGGCATCATCAAAATAAACGGAATACTCCTAAGAGATGATAAAGAGCCCACGTACCTAGGAGTCACATTTGATGACAGGTTGACATGGAGAAAACATATCAACAAGGCAGCAACCAAAGCCAGGAGGAAGACAGCCATACTAAGAAAACTAAGCGGAACCACATGGGGAGCCAGTGGGAAAATACTCAATAAAGTATACAAGCAGAGCATACAACCACACTTGGAATATGGGTCAACTGCATGGTGTTCAGCATCTAGTTCAGCATCTATATTAAAGGAGTTGGACAAAGTGCAAAATCAAGCACTCAGAGTCATCACAGGAGGGATGAAATCAACCCCCATATTAGAAATGGAGAAAGCTGGGAAAACACAGGCACTGAGAGAACTCAGAGATACAAAGTTGCAAATACAAGCTGAAAAGTTCCTCAGTATGCCAGATCACCCCATGAAAAATAGATTTCAGAACCTAGCCTTGGGACGGTTAAAAAAAGCAGCTTTATACATCAAGCAAAAAGAATATGTAGACAAACTACTGACCTTCCAGAAATTGGTTGTCCACTTAACAGTATTCCAGAACAAACCCCATGGAGAGAGAAATGCAAACTAACAGTACAAATCCAGACAAATGTGAAAGGAATATTTGATAAGAATGAACAAGATAGTGTACAACGCAGAATGGCCACCCTCAGTTATATTGATGAAGAATACCCACAAGAACAATGGGTCAGAGTCTATACAGATGGCTATACTAGGGATAAGTCCAGCGTACCAACCGGAAAGTACTGCCATAACTATGATGCAGAAACTCAGGCTATCAAGATAGTAACAGAGAAACTGCTAAATATTAATCTTGGCTCACAGTATGTGGTAATGCTGACAGATGCAAAATCAGTACTTGAAGCACTCCAGTCTAGGAAACTACCAGAATTGCAAACACTGCTGACACAACTTAGCCTTCAGTGAAGAGTTGTAATGCAGTGGATACCATCACAATGTGGGGTGCCTGGAAATTAGAAAGCTGATCAACTGGCAGGGGAAGGTGCGAAAAAAGAGCAGCCAGATGTACCAGTCACATACCACCAAAAGAAAAGAATAATTAAATCAATCAGGAAACCACCAGCCCCAGCACAAGACGACTATTTTAGTATTGACAGATCAGAACAAGTCATTATTCTCCGCCTCAGAACAGGGCACAACCGATTACGTAACCACATACCCAAAATTCAAGATAGGCGTATCAGCCATGTGCACCTGTGGAAAGGTGCCCCAGACAGCAGAGCATGTACTCCAGGACTGCACCGAATTTGACACATTAAGGCAAACCTTTTGGCCAGAAAGAACAACAGTGGAACGTAAACTCTACGGACCACTGAATGAATTAACAACAACAGTGAAATTTATACAAGAGACAAAATTGCTGATATAGACAACTTATTTCAGGTTAACGAAAGAAGAAGAAGAATGTAGAAGCTGCTCTTGAAACACACTGATAAATCATATGGTTCTCAGGAACAACACCCCCTACAAGTGTACATCACACCTTCTAATCTCTAAACAGCAGCAGATGTCTCATTAACTACAAATATATCTCCTAATTTGCCTGTAGCATGGGTCAGAAAAGGTTGAAGAACACTGCTGTATAGGAAACACAACTAGCTTTACATTAATCTGTGCCTGGTAGCTTGTCTTATTGTTGGTTCAAAAGATGCGTTGGATAAGATACAGGTTGAGAAAACATGAAAACAATTTAACTAGAATGTCTTTGCACTGGAATCCACAGAGGCACAGAAATAAAGGAAGACCAAAAAACACATGGAGAAGGGAGCTAGGATATAGAGAAAGCTGCATGCGACAGCGAAGCACAGAACAACTTAGGATGAGCTGGTTGAGGGCCTATGCTCAGTTGGGGGTTAAAAAAGCAGAGGAGGAAGAACATGTTTGTTGGTACCCTTTCGACTTTCCAGACGACAGTGTTGTACTGTGCCACTGTAGCAGGTTAAGTTAGGTTTATACAACTGATTAACACCATGGCACAAGGGTAGTAACCAATGCCTGTAGCAGGTGTGATTAGCAAAATCTGATCACATTAACAAAAGTCTTCCCATCAGCATAAGGGCTTTCATGACCAATGTTGCCATCACATGTTTTTAACATGCTTTTTTTTAGCCATTCAGCTTTTAACCTATCTGTAATTATTTGCTCCATTATTCCTATTCCCTTCATGATTCTTCCCCCTCTGTGCAACATGGTCCATCACATCCTGCTGCCAAGGATCTACCTCAATACCTGTACCATTCAGGTACTGCTAGCATACATCTTTATATTATAGTACAGGCTGACTTATGGCCGGCGTAATACTGACCACATTACCCACCTAGTGCTGATAGTCTGTAAAAATATGGGCGCTCTTCCTATATACCCAATAGCCTTAAGGGGGGAAAGGGATCTTTACTTTTTAAAAATTTTTTACTTACAGGCTGACTTTGACAATGACTTCGGCGACCGGGTAACCCACTGGGTGGCCGGTAGATGACTTCGTCATCGGTCGGGACAGTATTTCGGTCTGTCTCCTGTGATCGCAACAACACTGCAAGAGTCCTTTTCAGAGCTCCTTGATGGCGAGCAATGTTAGGCCATTCTTCCTTTTCAGAGCTACTTGGTGGCGAGCAATGTTAGGCCATCTTCCTTTTCAGAGCTACTTGGTGGCGAGCAATGTTAGGCCATTCTTCCTTTTCAGAGCTACTTGATGGTGAGCAAAGTTAGGCCATTCTTCCTTTTCAGAGCTACTTGCTGGCGAGCAATGTTAGGCCATTCTTCCTTTTCAGAGCTCCTTGGTGGCGAGCAATGTTAGGCCATTCTTCCTTTTCAGAGCTCCTTGATGGCGAGCAATGTTAGGCCATTCTTCCTTTTCAGAGCTCCTTGGTGGCGAGCAATGTTAGGCCATTCTTCCTTTTCAGAGATACTTGATGGCGAGCAATGTTAGGCCATTCTTCCTTTTCAGAGCTACTTGATGGCGAGCAATGTTAGGCCATTCTTCCTTTTCAGAGCTCCTTGGTGGCGAGCAATGTTAGGCCATTCTTCCTTTTCAGAGCTCCTTGATGGCGAGCAATGTTAGGCCATTCTTCCTTTTCAGAGCTCCTTGATGGTGAGCAATGTTAGGCCATTCTTCCTTTTCAGAGCTCCTTGATGGCGAGCAATGTTAGGCCATTCTTCTTTTTCAGAGCTCCTTGATGGCGAGCAATGTTAGGCCATTCTTCCTTTTCAGAGATACTTGATGGCGAGCAATGTTAGGCCATTCTTCCTTTTCAGAGCTCCTTGATGGCGAGCAATGTTAGGCCATTCTTCCTTTTCAGAGCTACTTGCTGGCGAGCAATGTTAGGCCATTCTTCCTTTTCAGAGCTTCTTGATGGCGAGCAATGTTAGGCCATTCTTCCTTTTCAGAGCTTCTTGATGGCGAGCAATGTTAGGCCATTCTTCCTTTTGAGAGCTTCTTGATGGCGAGCAATGTTAGGCCATTCTTCCTTTTCAGAGCTACTTGATGGCGAGCAATGTTAGGCCATTCTTCTTTTTCAGAGCTCCTTGATGGCGAGCAATGTTAGGCCATTCTTCCTTTTCAGAGCTCCTTGATGGCGAGCAATGTTAGGCCATTCTTCCTTTTCAGAGCTCCTTGATGGCGAGCAATGTTAGGCCATTCTTCCTTTTTAGAGCTACTTGGTGGCGAGCAATGTTAGGCCATTCTTCTTTTTCAGAGCTCCTTGATGGCGAGCAATGTTAGGCCATTCTTCCTTTTCAGAGCTACTTGCTGGCGAGCAATGTTAGGCCATTCTAAAATGCTGCAAATAACCTAATTCACAATTATAACCAAGAGGGGATGCTGGTTGAACATGGCGATTTTTTAATTTTGAAAAACGGATAAAGGATGATGACTCTGACACCTTCTACTCATCTGTAAGTCACTAAATAGGATGTCCTTAGGGACCTTACCATTCTTCATCCTCTAAGTTATTATTAACACAAGGAGTCTGAAATGAAGTCAGCACCTGTTGTGTAAGAGTGCTCCACTTGTTTTCTGTTATGTAGCTTTGATATGTTGAGGGACATAGCTTCCAAACTTCTTCCAAAGGCAGTCTTTTACCATCTGAGATTAACAAAAGAAAATACTTTTTAAAAGTTTTTTTTTAAAAGCAATTAAATGTGTAAATCACAATATAAATAAATTTTTAAAACATAGGGACATATTCTGTTATCAATACTGGAAAATGGGGAGGGGGGGGGGGGGGGGGGAAACAAAAGAAGTTTTTTCAAAAACGATATTAAAAAATTTTTTTTTTTTTTAAATAAATATCCAGAAACCATTAGTTGTTAACATTTGGCTCTGTACTACGGATGTCGCAACCCTTTGGCCTTGATTCCATGATAGGTGCCGTAAATCTGGGAGGAAATGTGGCTTTTCTGCCTACTCCCGGGAGTGAACCCGGACCACAAGGAGTTCACCGGTCACCGCGCAGTCCGGTTTAGCCTACTACGCTAGAGAGCCAGGCACACACAAAAAAACCACTAAAAACAATAAATTTCACATTAATTTCGTGACAAATACTGTCGTATGGTTGATGTTAGGAAGATCTTCTTCTTGTTCACCGGCTGTTAATTCTGGCAGAAAGTCCCGGTTGTTCATCCATTTGGACTTTGGCTTTTACCTGGACCTGAGTTTTGCATGTACATCCATTTTACAGGCTTATTTGTGTGCAGTTCTGGCTCTCTGCCTCTCCGGCAGATGTACTCAGACTTCGAGGGAAGACGTCAAGCCTATCTCTAGTATGTGTGGGGCGAGATGTTACCTCATTTATGTGGTGTCCTCTTTGTCCCTTTATCCACAGGTGTTGCCCCCCAAGGGACCCCCCCTTCCCCCTTAGGCAACCCTATGCAGAATGGTCAGCCCTCAAGGGAAGGCAGGGGCAGATCATGGGCGTTCCCCGCCATCCAAGGGGCTTCCATAAATGCAGAGCCGATACATGACACTGGTTCTGGGCTAACCCATGGAATCGTCACGTCCTGCACATGACTGCTTAACCTCATAACAGTACTCTGAGCTTCCCGCTCGACATAGGCTGCGCCCTCCGGAGATAGCGGGGAGCAACACGCAGGTCTAGGACTTTTGTAACCACACAAATAGGTACAATCTTCTTCATTGCACGTTAGATACCTTTAACATTGTCTTCTTCTTCTTTGCGTTCACCAGCTGTACACTCTGGCGGAAAGTTCTGGTTGCTCGTCCATTACTGAACTGCAGTCGTGCTCCAGAACCTGAGTGTTGCATGTGCATCAGTTTTACAGATCTCATTCTCTTGAATAAAGACTGTTGGTTCCTTGCCTCTCCGGCAGATGCACTCCGACTTCAAAGGAAGCTCCCCAATTAGTCGACTTTTACGACATGCTTTTGGGGAGGCAGTGGGTCTATTCTTGTTTTCCCCACAATGGGGCCCTGGAACCCACACAGGGGCTTTAACATTGTTAGAACTGTGCTCTTAGCACGACAGTATGGAGAAGCATGCGTCTGGCACGGCTTTATCTGTTTGGTCTCAACACTCGGGTGAGTGGGGCCATGGATTTAGACATTTGGACTTTTTTCCACTCAGTAAAATTTATGATGGATGGACTTTAAGCTTTGCTCATGTGCTGTAGGATCTATCTTTGTTGGACATTAGGGCCTTGCCAGCAGCTGAACAGTTGCTGTCGTGGTGTACCTCAGCGCAGTGATAATGATGCTTAGGGTTGACAGAGGATGTACGTTGGTAGAATTTTACTGCAAGAAACCATCAACAGAAGATGTTACTCGTCTAGGCTGCGGGTAAATCTCTTGGTCAGGGGTTGAGTTTCAGCAGCGCAGTTTTCCTTTCACTCCACAGACTTTTAACCGAGAGTTGTCATTTAGTGGTCCATTTGGCAAGCAGACTTAATTCACGTTCCAAATTGAGTTTTAATAGACTTTTTCACCCATGCGTTTGCGGGCAGGCTGATGAGAGTCAGAAAGGACACTACATCTCTGGGGACCGCCAACTCCGAGATCCCCTGCCAGCTCTATTGTCGCTCATTTGAGACATTATCCATGGTGCAAAAAAGGGACGTGCAGCAGGAGTCTTGCACGAGGTTTCGTAAAACCAGAACAGTGAAGGGCTGGCACCCTAGTGAGGTACGGAGTGTCACCTTATACACATCACATTGAACTTAACTTTCCCTCACACCTGAGACCAAAATCCCTGCACCACATTAGGGAGATCAAGGGTGTGTGAATTTGGGGCTTTCACATACACTAAGTCAAAAAATAATAGTATTGTGTCATCTATTTTTGTTCCTATATCTTAGGCAGATGACATCTCGTAATAAATATAAATAACCTTCCAGTCTGTTTTCCTTATTTCTTTCTCTTCAGCATATTTATATTACAAGCTCTAGATGCCAAATCTACTGATAGCTCCCAGAAAAGCCTTAAAAGGAACTTGTTCAGCTGTCACAAATGGTAGAAATTTCTCTGTAGTGGATCCTGCCTCACTGTGGAATCAAAGCCAACGATAGCACTGATGTCTTGGCCAAGGATGACAGTGCCAAACAACAAATATACCAGTCACTGTCTTCTCCAGAAGTAAAAACTCTCATTAAAAGAAAATCAGAAACAGCCTGGGAAACAAATACTAGATTTAAAAAAACAAAAAACAAAACATGTGGTCACATCCAGTAGACCTGACAACTAAGCATTGGGGAAACCTAAGAGACCTTGAGATGACATTCCAGTTTATGGTCCACAATGACCAGATATCAATAAATTAGAAGAAATCTATATCACCATCAGTACAATACAACATATTCACATCATTTCCTCCTTTCCCTAACAGAACTGCTACCAAATCAAATTTACAAACCACATGAGTACCACCTATATCACAGATGCAGAAGAAAGCAACAGACAATCAGAGTTTGTTGACATATTCACTAAACAATTAATTCATTTACACTGTTTTGTCAAGACTGCACCTCAGTAAATCCTATAAACAATGTCAAGTTCGCTTTTCCTTCTCGAAAAAAACAAAATATAAATATAATATAGACAGTTGTATCCTATTCTTTACCAGGTTGAAAAACATTGAAATACAGCACGGGGACACCATAACTTTCGCTGTACATTACATGGTACTCAAATGTCAGCCCCTGTTGTGCTTGCACCTCAAGTGTAGGCATACAGCTCTCATCTGCCTGGGAAAAGATTAGCAAATGATAGGTTTGGTAAAGGATTTATGAAGTGAACACAAGCAAAAACATAATGAAGCAACTGGACAAACTGGCAATGCATAACCTAGATTCCAAAGTGTGTTTTATTAAATCCAGTCAGCATTTTATGTTTTAATGTGTAGCAGAGAGGTTACTGGCCAGCGTCATGCTGACCACATCACCCATCTTGTGCCGATTGGTCTATAAAATATAGGTCTAGCCCTATACGCCTAAAGGCATGAAAAAGAGTCCTTATTAGAGAGGTTACTGCTCTCATGTAGCAGGTCCTTTGTAGAACATCTCTCTCAACAGTCTGTCTGAAAGAAACTCAGTCTCTCACCAGCTCTCCCACCTTGTGCTTTCCTACACAAGACGTCACTTATATCATGGCCCATCTTCATACCGACTGGCCCCTGCCCACTTTCCTGATACCATGCATTCTGCTGTTATTTTTTCTTTTCCTGATTCGTTGTCATCATCATCAGTTCTCAATATGCCTAGTAGCACTTGAGGCATCAACGCTGACAGAGGGACTCTGTCCCAAGACCGCCGGACGTTTAGAGCACTTATTTCCTCTTGAAGTTTCAGTAACGTTGTAGATTTTTTACGCGGCAGAGCTGTCAACACTGTGCTCAACCCCCGAGCCTGGAGGACCGGGAAGCCATCTTAAGTCTGGCCCCTCACCAATGACCTGTCCAGCTTGGGTGACCCTACCAGGAACATACGTTCCCGCCGGCATAGCTCATTAGATCATTGGGGCTCTCAAGTTCCCCCACCACTACAAGGTAATGGCCTCTGGGGGGAGCTGATTCGTTGTGGCGCTTGATATTGCCAAAATATTTCTTTCCGAGACAAGATGATTTTTACTAGCCAATCTTCTTTTGTGTTCAAATCTTTTAGGATGTCGGTGTTTCTTTCTTCTTTGTCCACCGTATTCTGAGAATCTGTCTATATCATTTCAGCTCAAAAACCTCTATTTTCTACCTTAACAACTGCAAGATAGTCCACGACTCACATCCATATGCTGCTACAGGAAAAAATGCATGCTGACTTTTATTTCCTCGCCAGTGTTAAACCATAGACTTTTAATATTGTTTAATGGTTACTGCTCTTGTTAAATGATTAGTGCTCTTACTTACAAAGAAAATGGTCTGGGTTCAATCCCCAGGACAGCTGGGTTTTTGATAAGACCAGTATGCCTCTGGGGAAATTCAAACATTAAAAAAAAAAAGTATTTTGTTTTATGTTTTCTCTTCCAGGATTGAAATCTGTAGGATTAACAGCATAAGAATAAGAATGGAGCAAATCCCAGAAATCCCAGGTCAACCATATAACATCATTATACTGAAGCACCCTGCGGTTACAAAATAACCTGCACTCCAGTGTGATGTGTAAGTAGTACAGCTGATAAAACTGGTACTAACTTCTTCTTCTTCTTGTTTTTTCGTTCGCTTGAAATAGATTATCAATATCTGCATTGTTGTCTCTAGTATGAACTTAACTGTAAACAGCCAGTTTGGCTTGCACCGATGTTTCTCCTAGCCAAAAGTTTTGCCTTGATATGTTGCATTTGGGACAGTCTTGAGGGACTTTACCTGTTGTCTCACGTGCTAATCCATATATTATGTATTATTGTGTACATGTGGCTGTGAAGTCGACTGTATTATGTTCTAAGGCGTAGAATAATGACTTGCTCTGGTCTGTCCGTATATTAATCATCTTTTGCTGGTTTTGGTGGCTCTTTGATTGATTTAATTATTCTCTTCTTCTGCTAATAAGAGACTGGTACATCAAGTTGTTCTTCATTTTCACCTTCCTTAGCTAGTTTATCAGCTCTTTTATTTCCAGGTACTAACTAATTGTTCAGGGTTTTCTGACATAAACAGACGTGACCTTTTCAAGGTTTTAGATCAAGGCTATTCAAATAGGTTTATTCAGGGGCCAAAATGTTGAAAATGGGGATCATCTTGGGGCCAGAAGCCGAAATCCCAGCACAGAGAAATAACTAAAAAAGTGTAAAGTAAAGGACCCTTTTCCATACCTTCAGGTATATAGGGCATATAGGGCTGGACCTATATTTTATAGACCAATCGATACTTGGCGGATGATGTGGTAACATCACCCCTGCTACCTTTACTTCCCATGACTTTACCTGGTATGCATTTAAGGCTGGGTCGACCTGGGAACTAAGGTCATTTAAAACAAAGTGTTTAGTTCTATCAGGACCTGAACCCACAACCTTTGGATCCTCAGGTGAGCATCTAGCCACTATACCATGGCGGCTCAGGAAACATAACGGAAAAAAAACCTGGCAATAATCCATAGGTCATCTGCTTGGCCTCTGCAGACTGCCAATTGAATAGCCAGTTCTTTTAGATGGATCGTCTGTTCAGGTCAAAAAGTGACCACATGTTGGTTACAGTTGCAGCAAAAGTTTCGTTAATAAGCATCTCTACATTCTAATACCTGAAGAGGTACAAAGAGGCATGCTCTAAGTGCAATCATGCTGTTTAGTTAAATAAACAAAATAAAATTTGGTAGTTTCCCTTTGTATTCCCCTTCCATAAATGTATGTATTATATATTCTAAACAATGTATATTCTAAACATAACTTATAATAACTCATAATCAAGTGCCTTGCAGACTGGCATGGGAAATCATGTCTTTCAAAATCTGGCAATACCGAACAGCCAGGGCTTTTTTCTTTTTCTGGAAGTGAACAACAGTATGCTTTACTGGTACCTTATTATTCATCATGCTTATTTTAGCACTTCTGTAATAGACACTTTGTAATGAATACTGGCTGATTTTTAGATATTTTGTGATGAGTATCTGTATAGAAAAAGAAAAGAAAAAAAAAAGAGTCCTGCCAACAGTATATATTAATTTTTACACTAACATTTATCTTGCTATGATTTTTTTTTAAAGCTTCTTCTCTCATTATTGTTCTCTGTGTCTTTTCTGTAAATCCTTCCTACAACTTTCCTACATGTTTAATGTAACTTTACTGTCTGTATTTACCACTTTCTAGATCCATGAAGGAGGTGGGGGAAGGGGGGTTTGAGTCTGAGGATTTAAAGCCACATAGCTAATGCAGTCATTACTGTTTGTGTAAGTTAGGATTTTAATTTTGCCCCGATGCAAAACAAACAAACAAATCCATCCCCTTACTGAGAATTGGAACCTGGGTCTCTTGAATAAAAGCCTAGCATTCTTAATTACTTGGCCAGTTTCTCCTCCATTTAGTACAAATACACGCTTACAAATAATAAAAAACTGAATATAGGAAGGTTTAAGGTTTGAACAACGGATCAACATCATGGCACATGGGCAGTAACCCATAAGTGCTCGGTTCGTCTTCTAACTCAAGTCTGAGTTCGAAGAAGCTCAGCACAGTGCACAGGCTCTGTAGCACCAGGGAGGATCCTGAAATACTGAATATAGGAAGAAGAATATGTTAACATAAACCTCTAAATCGATTTCCATTTCAGAAAGAATATCCCCATCTTCAGTGTTGGTTCTGTCAGTAAGATGAAGCTGTGAAAATTCTGACAGTTGTGAACCACAAAATGTGTCTGGGCTAGCTTCTGTCTGGACTTCTTCTCTGTTGGCCTGAACTGTAGGCGCAGCCTCAAGTCTCTTGCTCATGTACATGATATTATTCTGCAACAATATTAACTCTTTTAATAGCAAGCAACACACTAAAAAGTACTGAGGTAATTGGAGAAGGAGGAGGAAGAGGCAGAGGAGGAGGAGAAGAAGAAATTTAAGAGGATCAATTTCACTGTACTGGGTTTTTATCCCATATGGCTATGTCTCTCTCTGCAAAATGGTTAGCCATCTGCCTTTAATGTCCCACAAAGCATGAACTATATAGCTCCAGCAAAGATCCCCAGGGATCATTGAAAAAATGTACTTGTGAACTGAACATGCAGCCATGAAACTAAATCAGGACCAGCAGAGCATGAAGCAAACAGCTTGACCACTTTGCCATGGAGAACCCCATAGAAGAAAATGATGACTGAATCCTGTATGCATGTAAGAGTGTGACTAAACTGTTCAATAAGAACCAGCATACTTCTTTAGTATCTGCTCTCTTTCAATGTATAGAGCAGAAACATTGAGTTGAGTCAAGAACTGACATCACAGCACTCGGGGCATTTCCATTTAAGCTCCGTCCTTATCTTCAGCAGCCAGCGCAGAGCTCCAATACTGAAGGTACCGGTCAAAATCTGGTTATATATCCGTCTTGCCTTTCCTCTGAGTTTAGTGAGCTGGCCAGACCCTCTGGTTACACCCAGATGCCTCATTCTCTCCAGGCCATAATAAACTTCTATCTCTAGCAGAAGTATAGAGAAAGATTAAAACAATAACTTATTCTTCTTCTTTAGAATTTTGAGCCTCTGAGGTTCATTGCTGCAGAGATCACCTGTTTCCATTCCACCTCTGTGACTGGCTTTTTCTGTCCAGTTGGCGATTGCAGTTTTTTGTGGGACTGCTGTTTATTATCTCTCCACTATCTTCTCAGTCCACCTCATGATCTAGTCCCATTCAACGCTTCTGTGTATGCAGTTTTTGTCTCTATTACTGGCTCTTCTCTAAATATACCCCTACCATCACAGTCTATTAGAACTCTTGATGCCAGTCTTCTTCTTCTTTGCGTTCACTGGCTGTAAAAACAAACGGAAAGCTCTGGCTGTTGGTTCACCTCCGGACTTTTAGTCTTGTTCCAGAACCTGAGTACTGCATGCACATCTGTTTCACAGATCTGGCTTATTCGTATGCAGACTTGTGGTTCCTTGCCTCTCAGGCAGATGCACTCTGACTTTGAAGTCCCCAATTAGTAGACTCCTACGACATGTTTGTTGAGGAACCAGTGAGTCTATTTTTGTTTTCTCCACAATGGGGCACCAGAACACCCATGGGGACACATGATGCCAGTAAATAGTGATTTAAACAAATTTCTTTCTTGCTTCTCAGTCTCCATACTCTGTAACTTTGATGGGTCCAAAGATCCTTCATAAGACTGTTCTCAGAATATTGTAATAAAGTTGTGTCTCTTATAGTTGCAAACCAGGTTTCAGAGCCATAAGGGAAATAGGTCTTATTATCTGTGCTATAGTATAATAAATTCATTCAGATTTCTTTATTAAAGCGTAACTGAGGGGTAGAAAATGTTAATCTTCTTCTTCTTCTTTGGATTCACCGGCTGTAAACTCCAGAGAAAAAGTTCTGGTTGTTCGTTCACTTCTGGACTCTAGTCTTGTTCCAGAAACTGAATGTTGCCTGTACATCCGTTTCACAGGTCTGAGTTATTTGCATGCAGACTGTTGGTTCCTTGCCTCTCGGGCAGATGTACTCTGTTTGCCTCTCGGGCAGATGTACTCTGACTTCGAAGGAAGCTCCCAATTAGTCGACTCTTACGACATGCTTTTGGGCAGGCAGAGGGTCTATTCTTATTTCCCCCCCCCCCCCCCCCACAATGTGGCCCGGAACCCGCACGGGAAGAAAATGTTAAAAACAACTGTGTCTTAATTTCCTTCTTTGCTAGGCACCTGATTCTCATTCTCTCCCCTTCCCTAACCAGATCTTTCTTTAAATCCTTCTTTTTTTTAATCATCATCATCAAGTGCCTTGCCAACCGGCAGGGGCAATCATGCCTCTCCGAAACTGCAATCTTCAACAGCAAGTAACAGTTCCTGTGCTGACATCCCTCCATGCCATGACCAAGGGCTGTTGAGAATCTTCTTGCAATGTCACTGTCTCCTTTGTTCCACAGCTCTTTCCTGTGGTCACAGTATGTGCCAGTTTCTATCTTCTTCTGATATTTCCTCACCTCTTTCAGAATATCTGGGTAAAATCACATTTTCTAGTGCTATTTATTTCCATCCTTCCCATATTGTTCTTTTTTTCCCCTTGCATTTCTGAACTAATGCTCCTTCACTACCATCCTTCTTTAGTACTTTTTATGCCATTTTTGACATGTCTTTCTTTATTACCTCTTTTTTTCTCATGCAGCTTATTTCAAGTTTCTAATGTTTTTGGGGGCTGTTTTCTATATTTCCTTTTTTTTATTGAGAGGCGTTTCATTCTTTCCTTCTTCCCAATCATTTCTTTCCTTTATCGGGTGATCATTCTTTTCTTTGTCACCTTATTCTTTTTTTTCCCACTTTCTAAGACACTCCTTTTTTTATTTCCTTCTATCCTAAGCACTTCTTTCTTTATCTCTCCCCCCCCCCCCCCATACTTCTATCTCTATCCCCTTGTCTCACAGACTTAATAAATGTGACGTTTCTTATATTATTTTCTGCCAAGCTTTCAACATACATCTTCTTGTCTCTCTTGTAATGCATTTCCCCACAAAAGTTAATTTCTACAGTCCATCTCTCTGGTGACATTCTTCATACATTTGTCTTTTCCTTATGTATCACAATTACATAATGCATATAATACGTCTAGACATCTTATTAAATGTATACGGCTTATTACATTGATTATATTGACAAGGAATCTAAGGCATACAAGTTGCCGACTTACAGCCCCATATTCGATACGCCACTTGTCATATATTGAGTCTGATATGATGACAAAGCCTTTCACCAGACTTCTGAACTCTTGGTAGGATATCGAACCTGCCGTCATCGTGGTAAAAATGACTAGCCGGGACAGTTCTAGCTGGACCACCTTGCCTCTTGTTGCCGGTACCTCCCTCTAGGCTACACGGGCTGGTGTCTGAAAATACGAGGTAAAGAGAAGAGGGGAAAACATGCACACACCCTCTTAAACTTTCAGCCTCAATTCTCTTTGCAAAACAATATAAATTTGCTAGTTTGTTGACGACATCACTTAGGAGAAAAATTTGCGTTCTTTTTCTCTGGAAACTTTATATGAAGTGGGGTGGAAATTTAGGTTTGTTTACGTGACACATTTACAGGTTTACAAGTGTTTTCTGTAGTTGTGTGGAGACGGTGAGGGGTGGCGAGAAAGATGACCGAACTTTGTATTGCTTTACACGAAGAGATGGAAGGGAAGGAGAAAGAGAATTCCCAAGGAAAGAAAGAAGAGGGCAGAAAAAAAAGCTCTATCCCCACTGGGTAGAGTCGACTGGGCCAACATCGACCGGTCTCGCAGCACTTCAGAAACTATTGAGCAAAATCTCCAGGAAAATAGGTCAGCGCAGTGGTAAAGTGTATTGTTGAAATCTGCATCCCTAGCAAATGCTTTTTTCCCTCCTTCTTCTTCTTTTCTTCTTGTAGAGGGGGGTGAGGTGACATGGAGGAAAGAACAACTAAATGACCACTTCTTCTTTTGTGGTTGCGGTATATAGTAATATTCTTGTAGTATAATCTGCCCGTGGATCTATATATGGGAACAATAATGTAAAGGGCTGTTATGGCTTCCTTTGTGGCCGCGGGGAAAATCTATAAATAAGATGCTTGGCTAGTGGTCAGTCAGCTAGATAAACTACGGAGGTGGGGAAGGGGGGGGGGCGTCTGCAGTTGAATCTTTAAACCCGTTAAGATCAAGACAAAGAAGAGCCCCCAAAGCAGTGTTCAGATATACACACAACAATTTAAACAGACAACCCAGGGACCGGAATGAAGATGTACATTAATGAAAGCATTACAATCTGTTATTATTATTAAGTAGCAGAAAGGAGCGATCATAAACAATCGGTGGATAGCTAAACATTTTTACTGGGATCCGATCAAACTAGATAACTGGCAAGTCGCCAGCGCGTCTTTGTCGCCGATCTGCGCGAAGTCAGTGGGTGTCGGTCTTACAGCACAGCAGTTGCTGCTATTCTGGTCGGCCAATGGCGGGCAACACGACTGACAGGCCTGGCTGATGTTGGCAAGACAACGGGGTCAGTGTCGTTCTCGATGGCTTGACAGGTGCGTGACAGTTCAGCTCTCAGTATGTACGCCAAAGGGAAAGGTTCTACTGTCCCCTCGGATGCTCAGGCAAGAGAAAAGTGAGTGGACATTGTTTGGCGTATAGGCACTTCAACTTATCACCATTTTTATTACATGTTTAATTGACAGGCTAGTGTTTAACGCGGGTAGCCTTTGTGGATGTTCTCTATTCGCAGACTTGGCTTTGCCACATGCGCGTGAGGCTTGTGTGTATCTTTCAGTTTTATACATTTTATTGTGTATTTCATGTGCAAACAAACAGCTACGGAGGTGATGCAATTATACGTATTGGATTTAGATACGCTATTCATTGGAGTGTGTGTGTGGTTGCGTAATAGGTTACTTACTTGGCCGTGCTGCGATGGCTTGACCTGTGAACGTTACCTGTTCTTGTGAAGCAGTACAATTATTAACATCGATCGTGTCGGGAGTATGGCTTAAGTCGGTGCTTCCCCAGCCGCCACAAATTTCACAGTGGCGTCCCTTACGACAGCTGGGCAACAGCTCTAACTAATAGATACCCACAAACACAGTATCTTTGTAGTTGTACCCACTAAATAAAAAGTCTGTATACTGTATATATTAACACAGACAGTAGTTGGTTCAAATGTAAATTAAGTACACAAACACACTATCTATTCCTTCTAAGCTCTCGTGTGCTTGCTAGTTGTTGTTTTTTTTTTGGTTAGAAACCTAGTTATCTTCTTCTTCGCCTTCACCAGCTGTACACTCTGGCGGAAAGTTCTGGTTGCTCATCCACTAGTGAACTGCAGTCCTGCTCCAGAACCTGAGTGTTGCGTGTGCATCAGTTTTACAGATCTCATTCTCTTGAATACAGACTGTTGGGCTCTACTGGCAAATTTGGCCGGTAAGCTGCACTGCTTCGGGCAGCTTAGCGGGGCTTAGTGGGAGTTATGTCCCTTGGCCAAACTCAAAACAAGTCGCGGAAAAAGTCACGAATCAAACGGCATATTTACCTATCATCATCTGGGTGCGTGTAGGGTTGCGTAGGGTGTCTATCATCGTCCTACGGTTGCGTGTAGGGCTACTTATTGCGTGTAGGGTTGGTTGTTTGCGTAAGATAGATGAGGGGTAGGGTTAGGGTTAGAATTTAGGGTTAGGTGTAGCGTTAGATGTGACAATTGTGACGCCATAGTTCCCTACAATCGCGCACAGTCGCATGCACGCGCAAACAGTCGACGGACGGTGGATGCTACTGATACGGACAATTCGCCACCGATTGGGCACCAGCCGCGCGCTATTGCAGTCATATTTGGCACACTTCCAGTGGCGCCACTCCCACAAGCATCAGATTGTCGGCCAGTATTTCTACTTCCTACGTGAATATTTTTACATCATCTAACCCTACCCCTAACCCTAACCCTCCCCCTAACCCTAACCCACACCGCTAACCCAAACCCTACGCAACCCTACACGCAACCGTATGATGATGATGATAGACACCCTACGCATCCCTACACGCAACCGTATGATGATGATAGACACCCTACGCAGCCCTACGCGCAACCGTATGATGATAGGTAACCCTAGACGCAACCCTACGTAGCCCTACACGCACCCGGATGATGATAGGTAAGTATGTCATTTTCTGCGACTTGTTTTGAGTTTGGCGAAGGGACATAACTCCCACTAAGCCCCGCTAAGCCGGCCGAAGCAGTCCAGCTTACCGGCCAAATTTGCCAGTAGAGCCGACTGTTGGTTCCTTGCTTCTCCGGCAGATGCACTCCGACTTCAAAGGAAGCTCCCCAATTAGTCGACTCTTACGACATGCTTTTGGGGAGGCAGTGAGTCTATTCTTGTTTTCCCCATAATGGGGCCCCGTAACCCACACTGGGGAAACTTAGTTATATATTGCTATGATGCTCATCTTTACCTTTAAACTAACCTTTACAGTGCCCATGGCAACAGCACTAGCTCACAACCCCACACCGCTCTAAGAAGTGATACACACAGACAGTAGTGACAGTTACTCTTTCACAAGAGTACCATTTTAAAGTTTCTCAGTTTGAAAATCACATATTTTTCATGTTCACTTGCATTCTTTTGTTGGAAAGGGAAGGGGGGGTATCGATTTTAAACTGTAATATGGTAAAGTGTATCATTAAAGCCTTACCACATAGTTTATGCTTATGGCTTATCAGTTGCCAAATATTTTGTCTTGTATTAATATTCCTGTAAAAGTTTATGCTTATGGCTTATCAGTTCCCAAATATTTTGTCTTATATTAATATTCCTGTAAAAGTTTATGCTTATGGCTTATCAGTTGCCAAACATTTTGTCTTATATTCATATTCCTGTAAAAGTTTATGCTTATGGCTTATCAGTTGCCAAATATTTTGCCCTATATTCATATTCCTGTAAAATACACAGTCTGAACCATGTGGATATTAAACAAAAAAGACATGTATTGACATTGATTGGTTCTTGTAGAAAGAAGTGATAGGACTCACTAGGCAGCATGAAAATTGAAAGCTATGATAGTTAGCCTGCTAGTAATTGAACCTGTCACCTGCAAATGACATCATTGTCCTGCTGCAGAAACAAGTTTACTGTTTATTACCAAGATGTTTGACCTATATGACACACCCCTGATGTCTGCTTGGCTATATGACTTAGTACCTCCACCACTGTTTGCACATTAAATATACAATTTATAAAATTGAATGCTACAACTTAGCTCTCTGCACATGCTTCTCAATATATAAGTGCCTGTACCAAAATGTCTTCGCATGTTGCCACCTTTCCATCTTTCCAGATGATAGTGTTACATTGTGTTAAAGGTATAACAATGGGACCATCTTTTCAGATGACAGTGTTATAGTGTATTATAGTTGTAACATTGGGACCATCTTTCCAGGCGACAGTTTTATAGTGTATTATAGTTATAACTGTGGGACCATCTTTCCAGACGACAGTTTTATAGTGTATTATAGTTATAACTGTGGGGCGATCTTTCCAGACGACACTGTTATTGTGTATTATAGTTGTAACAATGGGACCATCTTTCCAGACAGTGTTAAAGTGTATTATAGTTATAACTGGGGGACCATCTTTCCAGACGACACTGTTATTGTGTATTATAGTTGAAACAATGGGACCATCTTTCCAGACGACAGTGTTAAAGTGTATTATAGTTATAACAATGGGACCATCTTTCCAGACGACAGTGTTATTATATATTATAGTTATAACAATGGGACCATCTTTCCAGATGGCAGTGTTATAGTGCATTATAGCTATAACAATGGGACCATCTTTCCAGACGACAGTGTTATGTATTATAGTTATAACACTGGGACCATCTTTCCAGACGACAGTGTTATTGTGTATTATAGTTATAACACTGGGACCATCTTTCCTATTATGATAGTGTTATATTGTGTTAAAACGATAGAAATCACAGCCTATGACAATTGCAGGTATGACTAAAAGGGCTTGCTCACGTTGAGAAAAGTGTTCCCCAATTATAGCATGGGATTTCAGGATCACTGTTGTCACTGCATATATTTCCTGATTTTCTCCATCCAAGTAATATTCTTAATGGTATCTTATTACGTTCCTCAGTATATGTGCATACACTACGCCAGGGCTATTCAGCTAAGTTTACTCAGGGTAGTTAGCACCCTTGGATATTTTCTCCAGAGTATGATGGTATGTTGGGAAATGAGCAGGCGGATGGACTGGCTAGTTCTGTGTGCACCATTTTGTGTTGAATTGATGTATGACAAGCTAGATGTTGTGAGGGCCCTTTAGGAGTGAGTGAACAATGCAGAGGCACAGATAGATCATTATGATCTGAGGAGAACGGCGCTACACTACGAGTAGCTACCAGGGGATCTGGCCGACACTCAAGGGTGAGACGAATAAACAAATCAGACAGTTACTGGTGCCATCGGAATTGGAACTCTTCGTTTGCTGCTAAACATGGAGACGAAGCGCTTATGGGAGTAAAGTGTCCAGAGTGCTGTGATATCAGTTCTTAATTCAGCATTAAACATACGTTTGAAAATGGAGATTGTTTTGTGCCAGATGCCCAAGACCTACTGTAAACAGATCATTAATACAATACAATCGGCAGTGATCCATGGGTCAGTTGCTAGGCAACTGGGCTGCCAGTTGAATAGCTCTGCACTACACATTATATGACTACACCACGGTCTCTGGTGTATTTGTTGTCCAGTTGTGCCATTATAAATCACATACGGCTCATAGTCTATTTCTCAATTCTGTTTCTATCGTGTGTAATCACTTCGATATCATGGATGGAATCTAGTCCAGTACCTTTGGCCTCTCTCATCAGCATTCACCTTAGGGTTTCTCTTGGACGTTCTCATTTTCCGCATCGCTCAGTTTCCCATTTCAGTTCTTGTTTGGGGATTCTCTGTTTGGCTTATCACAGAATGTGTCCACTTTAGGATGGCACCATCGTCTCTGTTGTATAACTGTTGATACTAGTGGTTATTTCTGAACTCTTTTTATGTTTAGCATTTTCCTCAGGCATTTGTTTTCAAATGCAGTTAACTTTTGCTCCATATCTTCTGTGGTTCTCCACCCTTCGCTGGCTTATGTTACAATTGTAGATCAGCATATAGTTGTCATTAATGAAATACTGCCTCACATTTATGTGCTGAAATCCTATATATCCTTCAAGTTTATCTACTTTTCAAGTTTATCTACTTTTTACATTTGCAGACTTGCCTTGTATGTTTACGAATATTTACTTCATGTTGGGGCACAGAAATCAGCACAGACGTTTTTATCAGAGGTAAGTTTCTTGAGGATTTATAACTGATTCCAGTATTGAATTTTTAAATAAAAATATTATATGGGGTAGTGGCTAGAGGCTGTGGGGTAGCGGCTAGACGCTTTTACCGTGGATCAGAAGGTCATGGGTTCCGGTCCTGACAGAGCGGGACTATTTTAAACAATGACCAGGTCGTCCCAGCCTTGAGTGGGTACCAGGTAAAGTTGACCAAATCACCCACAGAGTGCCAAATGGTCTATAAAATATAGGTCTTGCCGTAAATGCCCAATACACCTGAAGGCGTGGAAAATGGTCCTTTACTTTTACTTAATATATATATATATAAATATACATTTGTATGTAAAGTAAGTAAAGATCTCTTTTCATGCCCTTAGACGCATCGGGCATATGGGAAGAGCACCCATATTTTTACAGACCATTCGGCACTAGGTGGGTAATGAGTCCGCATTATGCCGGCCATCTTTACTTCCCCAGGACATCCATCCTGGTACCCATTGTAGGCTGGTTCAACCTGCGACGCCCCATACCCTGATAAAAATCCACACAGCCAGCAGTGGGTTTTGATCGCGGAATGAGTGGATTTACGGGTCGGACTGGCAACGCCTAAGCCACGGACACTGCACATATATATATATATATATATATATATATATATATATATATATATATATATATATATATATATATATATATATATATATATATATATATATATATATATATATATATATATATATATATATATTGCTATTGATAGTGCTTTAAGTAGTATTCTAACTACGCTTGTGATTAGTAATAGTTTTTGGAATCGCAGTATGCATTTAACCCTTTCGCTGCTACATTCCCGGAAATAGCTGTCTGCCCTGTGCTAAGCAATGTGAAAAAAAAGTCTCTGCTGTGCGCAATACTTTTCTATCCTCCAAACGCAAAAGATGCGTCAGCGGTGAGGGCTATATTTTGTACACCTAAAAATTTTTACCCTGGGGAGTTGTGTGGTTGGTCCGAGTGGTGACAAGTCAGAGGCACGATGGTGCCCCACAAACTTGACTTAACGGAGCTATCACCCTTCTGGGGGGGGGGGGGATTAATGGGAAGAACTGTTCCCAGTCTGTATCCCAAAATTTGATTGACGAACCTACCACGGCTGCCACTTCCATGTTATTACATACCAAAATAATGAAAAAAAATATTAATAATAATACTTGAGTCATCCGTTTAAAAAAAAACACACAACTTCGGGGGTTGAACACACGAACCTCCGATTCCAAGGCGAACGTGATACCAACTACACTATACTACCGCTTGACGTATTGTGCTGTGTGAATGATAATAATGAATGATGTGCGCAGACTATCAATAATGTGTCTAAGTTTGTAGTCTATCGCCACCTGCATGAGCACTGTTGTCTGAGAAATGTTTGAGATTCTCAACAATAGTAAAAATATGTCCCTCTACATTATTTTACGGGAGTTTTTAGCAAACAGTCTTTGCTCAAGTAATTTTGAGTTTCTTAGTTCTAAGCATTAGCAGACAGACAGCACACACACAAAAAAAAAATTTGTCCGAATCTGTGTCTGACCATCGGGAAAGACGAGAATTTTTAGTGACTGAACTGTTTGAATTTACAGTAGCAGAAATACATATAGAGCTGGAGTCATCAAAATTATGCACTACTGGTTTCAAATCATCGGTTCATCAAGACAACTGATCAATTTATTGCCGTTTTGATGGTGCTTCATTGTCGCTGCTCTCTGATTCCGACGATGAGGACGTCGGACAGGCAAACAGCTTTTTTTGGACACGCCTGTTTCAGCAGTCGATACTGATGGCTTAGTCAAATCTTCATGTTCACTGTCAGAAGTACACATTTCAAAGTCATCTTCGCTATCACTTCTTGACAGAAACTCCATCAATTCTTCATCAACTTTAACAAGTTTTCTTGCCATTTTGTACTAAGTGTAGAATAATCCAAAAGCACAAATATATATCAGGGCACAAAATACACAGATCACCGACCACGCTGTCACAGTAAACAAAGCAACGGGATAACGCAGAATGCAGTAAACACACCTAAAAGCACCTGCCAGTGCTTTTAATCGTATGTAAATGGGTCAGTTTAATCTAAATATAGCTAATGTATATTGCCCTTCAGCCAATAAAATATGAGGTAACAGAAATCTGTAAGAAAAGTCCAAAAACGGCTTGGGACGTCCATAGCACTGGGGGTCAAGAAAAAAAATAACGTCCAAAGACGGGCGTAGCAGTGTACGGGAAATCGAGAAAAAACGTCCATAGCAGCGAAAGGGTTAACAAGCAGTTCATCGTTGCTATACACCCCCACCACAAAACCCACATGGGCGTCTTTATTTCTTTTACCCTCTGGGCTCCAAGAAAGGCAGTTCAGTTATGTTAAGAACAGCTTTTCCTAATGTGTGTCCTCTCTAGATCTAACGTCTTTTCTTTTCTCACTGCTTGAACTGCTAGATTTTTAGTTCTCTTCTTAAGCTTTACGTTAGTGATTCTACCAAACCATTTTTTGTTTTCAGTCCTTCCATTCTGCACATATATCAGTAAAATGAATGTGTGTAGTTTTTTAAATTATTGTTTTAATCAGTGTTTGTGATCCACATATCGGTATTGAATTTATGTTAAATATTCTTCTAAGTCCTTGGTGATTTAATATCTTTTATTTATCTTGTTTTTTTTAGATCAGATGGGAAAAAAACATAACCTTGGGGGAACCACCAGGGTTTCTACACTCATGGTGGTGGTAAGTACTACTGTTTTGTTTTTTTTTACATTTGTTGCTTATTTTGTTTAAGGGGCAGATTTTGCTTTTTTTTTTTTTCAAACAGTGGTTTTTGTAGAATAAAAAAAGGTGTCCCAAAAATTTCAAACATGGGGAAAATGAGCATATTATAGATAGATAGATAAATGGATAGATAGATAGATAGACAGACAGATAGATAGATTAGATAGGAAAAGAAAGAAGGATGGATGTTAGGAAGGTTGGATGAACATATGGTTAGGTGGATCGGCCTAGATGTGTGCTGATATATGAAATCTGGTAAACAAGGGTTTTGCAAGCTATCAAATACAGACAGTGAGGGTGATTGTTATAAAGGTATCGGTTGTTATACAAAGTATCAGTCGAGCCAAACCACACCCATACAGTCTGACCACAATATATGCCATCTCAGTAGCAAAAACAGGTGATATACTATATGTGTGGAGTGTGTTTAAAAAACACAACTAGGAAACTATTCCATATTAGATAGTACACACACGGATAGTGGGGATGATTGAAAGTATGTGAGGGGGGGGGGGAGGGAGAGAAGGGAAAAGGAGATTCTAAGTGGTATCCAAGTGTAAGCACAGTATCAGACAACTAATGTGGTCATATATTGTAATGCATCATGACCGGTTGAGACCTCGAGGGTATTCCCTAATGAGTAGAGAATATGCTAAACTCACACAGCCAATGCACCAAATATAAGAAAGGGGGGGGGGGTGACAGGTTGATTCAGGGGCACTAGTAGTTTAGAGGAAGTTGTGCCGGGCATTCAGGCCTTGTGGTGAGGGGTTACCCATGAGATAGATAAGCGGTTTTTGAGTTTAGCATTTTGATAGTGCATTAACATAACTGCAATGAAAGTTCAGTCCCCAGTTGGAGAAGCAGATTTGGAGCTGACCCAATTTTGTAAAATGGAATGATTTCAAGCGATAATCATCGTCATCCGGCTGTGCTGTTTAAACATCGCATGGGGGCTTGTAGTTTTTCCTCCATTCCGTTCTGTCGTATGCAGTCTTTTTGATATAAAAGATGTAATCCAGTTCAGCGCCTTTGGCCTCTTTAATCAGTGTTGATCTTAGAGTTTCTGTTGGATTTCCTTATTTCCTCAACCCATTCACTTCCAATTGTAGTGGCTGTTTAGGGATTCTCTAGTGGTTCTTTTTCTGTGAGTTTTTGGTTCAGGATAATTTTACAAGGTGGAGGAGCTGGCCCCTTGCCCAACCTTCCTCCTTTCTCATCCAGACCTGAGATTGAAAGGGTGGTTGGCACATTGTGTTGTAGTTTACAGCTAGGCTGCAATATCTGTACCTTTTGGGTACAGTTTGGAATTCCAATAGTTATAACAGATTTAGAAAACAGTACATTCAATTGTGAAATTTTCTTCTTCTTCAATCCTTCTTTTAGAGAACCTTATATCAGGAGGCCAGTAACCTTGATGAAAGCTACTGCATTCCAGCTCTCGCCATGTTCCATACAGTTTTGTTCTGATTGAGGTTGGCACACGCCAGGTGGCCTGTTTGTGAACGATGTTGATACAGTCATTTGTTTCACACTCGTTGACAACTAAACCTATGTTTTATTCGTATTGCACTGTTTCTGTTTCAGTGTATTCTGGGATTTATATTGTGCAGCTCCAGAAAGGAGAGAAACTTGTGATCACAGCAGTGAAGCAAAAGCATTTCATGATTATGTAAGTTCACTCTTGTCTGAATGTTTTTCAGAGATTACTGTCTTCATCATCATCATCATGTTGCTGCAGAATATCGCTCATGTCATGGTGCGCCAGAAAGCCACTTGAATTCTTTTGCAAATATTTCTGATTACTAAAACTTGATACTCTTAATGGTATCCCATCTCAAGACCTGGAGTTGTACACCTATTTGGGCAGTAATGAAGGTAAAGATGGGGAAACTGACTGAGATAATAAAATATGAATACAAAAAGCAAGAGAAGCTTTCATAGCACTAGGGAATTTGTGGTCAAAATGTTGAGCTTTGGCAGATAACTAAACAAGTTCCAGTGGACCAAGAGGCGAGGAAAGGATGTTGGTGTTGGATAGAACACATGTTGAAAACATGAGGAAAATATAACTACAATGTCTCTGCAGTGGAACCCACAGGGGCATAGAAATAAAAGAAGACCAAAAAACACACGGAGAAGGAAGCTAGAGAGTGAAGTTAAAAAGATGGGGAGAGCTGCATGTGATAGCATAGGATAGAACGACTTGGCATGAGGGCCTATGCTCCATTGGGGGCTAGAAAGACAGAAGAAGAAGAATACTTGATGTATATATATTGTACTCTGATCGTATCATTATTAATTTGTTTATTGTAATGATTATGTGTGACTTATGTAGTAGGGCTGCCAAATGTATTGTTGAAAATACAAATTCTTTTCTCAAAATGATTAACCATTTCATCTTAACAGAATGGCTCAGTTAAGTATACAACACCCTTTTATGTCTTCTTACAATTGGTTTTTGTTGTGTTAGCAGTTCACTTAACACTGAAATGGAAGGGGAATAGGTCACTAATTCTAAAATCATGTACATGGTCTCAAAAATGTCAAAACTTAACTACTTTGCACACTACGAGTATATTTGCTATTTATTGGATTACCATCATTGTTGCCTGTTCTGGTTATCTGCACCAGTAATATTCCTTACACCTCTTGTTTTTATTCACTTTCTGTAGTTCATCTTCATTTAAAAAAAAATAATCCTTCTTCATCTTCTGATTTCATGTTCTGATTGTGAAGATTTTTCCTAACGTGAGCAAGTCTTGTTTATCACGCTTGCCATTGCTGTGGGCTGTGATTCTGATGCCTCACAGTGTAACACTATCATCTGGAAACATTGTTAACAGGCAGTGGGACACTCATCTCTCAGTCCAAAAAGTGAGCCCCGGAACCCGCAAACAGATTCACTGAGAGAAATTGCTGAGTGTGACATTTATTTATATAATTTTTCTAAACTTATTAGTGATTGAGTTTGTATAAACTCTTGCTTTGTTAGATTGTAAATTCAAAAGAAAGTTGGTAATAACAATTCATTGGGAATGACAATTCTGTCTTAAGAAAACTCCCCTTACAAAAGGATACTTAGCTCCATGTATGTGTGAGGTGAGCAGCTGCAAAGAACTCACAAATTGGACATGTATAGAGTTTGTAGATGTCAGAATTGTCTACCTCCTCTGCTTCAAGTGTTGTGTCAGCTAAGATATAGGCTATATAAAAAGGTCCAAAGTTACCATTTTTTAAGGCAGATAGCTCAGATGAACAGTTTTAAACATTTTCTAGCAATCTGGGAAGGAATTTATTTTTTTTTAAAAGTGCAGGACCCTTTTCCACACCTTTAGGCATATAGGGCTAGACCTGTATTTTATAGACCAGCACAAAATGGGGGATGTGGTCAGCATCACGCTGGCCGTGTTTACTTCCTGGGACTGCACCCGATACCCACTTAATGCTGGGACGACGTGGGAGCCAAGGTCATTTTTTGGGAAAACAATCCGGCTCCGCCAGGGAGTGAGCCCACCACCTTCCGATCCACGGCAAGCGTCTAGCCGCTCTGCCATGGTGACTCCTAAGGAATTTATAGTGTTGGCAAAAAAATAAATGAACAGGCCGTCTCCTCCTATTTTTGTCATACTAGGAGACGAGGGATTGGAGAATATCGGGAAGACTGTGGGTGTTGAGATGGATAGAGGAAGAAAATACAGGGTGGGTTAACCACGTGGTTTAGAATACAAATTGGTGGCTAAATACAATACTACAGTTAAGAATTGTTTATGCAGGTTTGCAGTTTTTGTCATTGCACATGATGGTGATAAATCACTATTAGTCTACTCAGCAACTTCAAACACCCTCTACAAATGTTCATTGAGATTTTGTTTGTTGTAAGCATTGATTTATCATGATTTTATTTTGTTATTTTCTTTTTCCAGGGTTTTGTAAATTCAGGCTACAGTGTCAATGGCATGGCACCAGTAAGTACTCAGCAAATGTCATGTGTATTAACCCTTTCTGTTCTAAACAACGCACTATATGTGTAACTTACTGTTCTTCATATGTTAACCCTTTCTGTCTTAAACAACGCACCATATATGTAACTTACTGATCTTCATGTGTTAACCCTTTCTGTCTTAAACAACACAGGGTATGTGTTCTTCATATGTCCTGATTCCCAATGTGGGTTCTGGTGTCCTATTATGGAGAAAACAAGAATAGACCTACTACCTGCCCAAATGCATGTCTTAAGAGTTGACTATTTGAGAGCTTCCTTCGAAGTCGGAGTGCCTCTGCCTGAGAGGCAAGGAACCAGCAGTGTGCATACAGATGAGTCAGATCTGTAAAACGGATGCACATGCAACACTCATGTTCTGGAACAGGACTGCAGTCTAGAAGTGGATGGACAACCAGAACTTTCCGCCAGTATACAGCTGGTGAACGCGAAGAAGAAGAGATATGTCCTGCTCAGCGTGTCACTTAATGTGTATGTAAAGACTGTGCTGGCTTTAAGAGTCACAATGGACAGTTCAGCTGTGACACTTTGAAGTCTTTCCTACATCTTCACTCTTTCCAGTCCCATGAGGTTTAGCATCAGAGACTTAAGGAGTAGTATCAGGAGGCCTAAAATCAAAGCATCTTGCATTCATTGGGCTTCTAGGTAGGAACTTATGAATGTATGCTGCGTTTTTTTTTGGGCCTGAAAGAATTAAGAATGCAACATGCACTAAAATTATTTAATTTGTAGAAGTGTTCTATCTTTGGGAAGGGGGGGGGGAGGTTTTGTTTCCATGGTGAACTGATTTGCCTTATGCGCTGAAGGTTTTAGGTTCGACTTAAAATTCCTTCCTTTTCACTGGCTGTTCTGTTGGCACCATTTTGAAAAGAATAAAAATTGATCTACTGCCTAAAGCCATCATAGAAGCGTGGGCTCTTGGGCAAACCAGTGTGCGGGGGCCCTTACGTCAACCAGGCAAACCAGTGTGCGGGGGCCCTTACGTCAACCAGGCAAACCAGTGTGCGGGGGCCCTTACGTCAACCACTGACAGTAATGACATTTTTGTTTATGACAAGTCACTTCACATACACGTATGCTCATGGAGCCTCCCGGACATGTGCCCAGTGGGCCCATGCATTAAGATGCCACTGCCCGTAACCAGCATATCGTTAAAAAGTCGCTGGTTGTGAATGTTTCCTTCCAAGTCAAAGTACGCCTGCCTGTAACCAAGGAGCCAACAGTCTACATACAAATAAAAATAAGCCAAATCTGTTTTTTTTTTTTTAATGGATCTGCGTGCAAAACTGAAGTTCTGGATTAAGATCAAAGTCCAGAAGTGGAGGAACAACAAGAACTTCCAGTCAGAGTTTACAACCAGGGAACTCTAAAAGAAAAAGAACAAGATTCATCCCTTTGTGAGGGGGGGGGGGGGGGTGGGGTGTAAGATCTCTGTGGAAAGATAACAAACTGAACGAGTAGAAACAGTCAGCTTGACATTTTCACAAACAACAAGTGAACGTTGCGGCTAAAGGGTCTTGGCGTATATACAGAACCACAAAAGTAGAAGTGTCTTTACTTTTTATAGTACTTCAAACCTATGAAAGTAATACAGTAGTCACTTTTCTTCTTCTTCTTTGTTTACTGGCTGTAAGCTCCGGTGGAAAGTCCTGGTTGTTCGTCCATTTGGACCTTGGCTTTGTATCAGGGCCTGAGTTTTGCATGTACATTCGTTTTACTGGCTTCTTTTGTTTGCTGTTGGTTGTTCGTTGCCGCTTGAAATGGTGCCCTCCAACTTCGAAGGAAGCCTCCAATTAGACGAATTCTACAACATACTACATGGGAAGGCAGTGGGTCTTGTTTTCACTACAATAGGACCCCGGAAGCCACACAAGGAACTAACTAGTCAGTATATTATTTCCCCAGTGGCCATCTGCTTGACCTTTTTTTTTTCTGGACACCCTCTGTGTCTTCCCCATATTGTTCATGTTTTTAATTACTTTCTCCATCTTTCACTATGTAGGTTTCAAGGGCGGTGGGGGGTTGGCAACTTCTTTTAATGCATTTAACAGGTTTTCTCTGTTTGTCTCATTCAGCAGTTGCAGGTGTCTTGTCCTCAACTCTTGGATGACAGGCATTTGTTCTCTTTATTAGTTCCACATTGTTGTTCTGAAATACTATTTTACTCCTTCTATTTTGTGTAGGCGGGAGTCGCTGTTTTGTAGCGGCTAGAGGCTCGACTATGGATCGGAAGGTCGTGTGTTCGGATTCTGATGGAGCTAGATTTTTTGTTAATGACCTTGGCTCCCATGTCGACAAAACCTTCAGTGGTGGCTACCAGGTGCCGTCCTGGAAAGTAAATGCTGCCAACATGATGCTGACCACATCACCCACCAAGTACCGATTGGTCTAAAAAATATAGGTCTAGCCCTATATACCCAATACGCCTGAAGGCGTGGAAAAGGGGTCCTTTACTTTTGTAAAAATTTATTCTGTGTAGGCACACATTAAGTTAATTATCACAATCGACTTCCCCCGTGTGGGTTCCGGGGCCCTATTGTGGGGAAAACAAGAATAGACCCACTGCCTCCCCAAAAGCATGTCGTAAGAGTCGACTAACTGGGGAGCTTCCTTTGAAGTCGGAGTGCATCTGCCTGAGAGGCAAGGAACCAGCAGTCTGCATTCAATTGAATCAGATCTGTAAAACTGATGCACATGCAACACTCAGGTTCTGGAGCATGACTGCAGTCCAGAAGTGGACGAACAACCAGAACTTTACGCCAGAGTGTACAGCTGGTGAACACAAAGAAGAAGAAGAAGACAATCGACATCATTGCACATTGGACATAACAGAGTGTGGTCAGTCCTCCAATGCAGCAGCCACCCCAAAGTACCTCCACTGATTTTTCCCAAGAGAAGTTGGTTAAAATGTCTTCTGTCCTGACCTCAAAGATAGCATAGACAGGCTTCACTGGGCTTTACTCCCAGGTCACAGTTGGGTAGGCACCAACTCAGGAATGTTTGTGGTGATTTAGCAGTTGCTCATTCTCCACATTTCTGATTGATACAGGCCAGTACTGATTTCTCGAGTTTCTAAATTTTGTGAAAGATTTATTTTCTTTTGACCTCCACACATTTTCTAGAACTGTGAAAGCTATTCTCTGCCATTTTATTAATGTTTTCCTGTATGGGTCACATGGGGGGGGGGGGGGGGGATAGCCCTAATGACAAACAAAGTGACCAATTAGGTATGTTTTCTTAGGAGTCAGGTACATCTGCCTGTGAGGCAAGAAACCAACAGTCTGCATAGAAAGCCAGATATGTGAAATGGATGTGCATACAAAACTCAAGTTCTGGAACACACCAAAGAGGCATGGAGCTGTTTGCATAAAAATGAGTGAGATCTGTCAAATACATATGCAAGCTCTGAAATAAGACCAAAGTCTAGATGTGGATTAACAGCCAGAACTTTCTGCCGGAGTTTACATCCATCCAGAGAGGTGAGGAGCTAAACAGTGTGCATACCCAAAAAAAAAAAAAAAGCAGATCTGTAAAACAGATGAGCACACAAAATCTTTTTTTTTAAATCCGGTTACATATGATACAATAGAGCAGAGCTTTCAAACACCTTTGTGTGTCGGCTGCAGTGCAAATGTAAAGAAGGTAGTTCAACCTCTGGTTTGCTTGTAGTTTGAATTACTATGTCATGGAATTGTATTTTGTCTGAAAAGTGTCACCGGCATGAACAGTTTGGAATGCTCTGCGATAGAGCAAGCACTATCTTGTAGTGAATTCTGCACCTGCCTGTAGTAATTAGTCAAAATGAATGCTGGCACAGAGATCCTGGGTTCGAATTCCTCATTTAGACATGGTTCTTTTAGTGTTTTCCTTGCTCAGATTGTTAAAAAACATTTGTTGCTTCCACATTTTTATTCTCAACGTACTTCAGATCTAGACAGAACAGTATAAGAACCATTGTCCTACAGTATAAGAACCATTGTCCTTCAGTATAAGAACCATTGTCCTACAGTATAAGAACCATTGTTCTACAGTATAAGAACCATTGTCCTACAGTATAAGAACCATTGTCCTACAGTATAAGAACCATTGTCCTACAGTATAAGAACCATTGTCCTACAGTATAAGAACCATTGTCCTACAGTATAAGAACCATTGTTCTACAGAATTGTTTGCATGTGTCATACAAATTTATGTGGGTTGTCATGATTCACCTTCCACATGATCACCAGTGCTGTTGAACTGATTATGCTATTGGGCTAAACAACCTAGATATTTATCACTGTTTTCATTTTGCTCTTTTTACCTACAATTTTGCAGTTGTCACCGAGTTTTCAAGTGCATTTTTTTCCCTCATTGCATACCATAGCCCTTATGAATTTACACTGATGTGGGTTTTCAGAAATTACCTGAACTTCTAGGTTGACTAGGCTTAAAAGTGTGTACCAGGAAATGTAGGCACCTCGTGTAATATTAACGGCATCACTCAAAGAGTGTTAACTGATTGATAATACTGTGTGGCTAGCACATTTCCCTGATACTTCGCAAGAGCTGGAAAAAAGCTATTTACATAAACTATCTGGATATTCTTCTCTTGTCGTCTCACTGATACCAGGTTTTAGCCCATTGATATTCTGTAATTGTCTTGAACTCCTCGGGTGGCTTCGGTGATGGATTTGTTCATCTTTTTGCAGATTTTGACTACACAATGTATCTATTTATTTTTCCCCTCACCTTCCTCCCAGATGTTCTGCTGTAAAAAGTCTTGTGTGCAGTTTGGTCTGGCTGCATTCTCAATAGATGGCTGAACCATTGCATTCTTTGTCAGTGTAATCCAGACATGGTTTTTTTCCAACTTTCTCTCTAATGCTGGTATTCGTAACCCTGTCTCTTCTGATGTTGTTATGACCCTGTGGATACAGCATATTTCAGTTGGATGTAGTTATTTTCTGTTCTGGTGCCCTATTC